AAAAAAAAAAAAAACACCTGGAGGAGAAAGCAGACAGTATTACTAAAATAGACGGCGAGCCAGGTTAGCTCACACCAGGATGCAAGCGCGCCACAGAAGGTAGGGAGGCGAAGAAGGTAAAGAAGGGTCGACGGACGCGGCGGCGGCGGCGGCGGCGGCGGCGGCGCGCGCGCGGCGCGCGCGACGGGGGGACGGAGCAGCGACCGCTGGCGCGGTCGCTGCTCCGTCTGTGCCAGGGACGCGCGCTCTTCGCCGCTGCAGAGCGCGCGCGTCAGGGCAAGGGGCATGCGTGGCGGCGCGGGAAGCGCGGCGGCGGCGGCGAGCCGCCGAGCGCTCCGTGAGCGGTGAGGCGGCCGGGCGAGGGCGCGGCGGGTGACGGGTCAAGGGAGCAGCCCACACCCGGCGTCGCTTTTTGAGCGACGCCTGTGGCACGCCTGCGCAGGGGCCGCAGGGCGGTCAGTTGTGGGGCGAGGCGGTGCCGGCCGCGGGCCGGGTGCAAGGCGCCGGCCTCGGCGCCGCCTCGGCGCGCCGCACCCGTGACGGGTCAAGGGAGCAGCCCACACCCGGCGTCGCTTTTTGAGCGACGCCTGTGGCACGCCTGCGCAGGGGCCGCAGGGCGGTCAGTTGTGGGGCGAGGCGGTGCCGGCCGCGGGCCGGGTGCAAGGCGCCGGCCTCGGCGCCGCCTCGGCGCGCCGCACGGGCGCGGCGAGCCTCTGAGCGGGAGCCGAAGGTTTGCCGTGGTGGGAGGTGGGTGGGAGGGAGGGTGGTGGGGCTGATTTGACTTTGCCGCAGAGGCCGTCCCTAGCTGTGAACAGCAAAACGGGACAGTATTCTCTGGCCAGCAAGAGGCGGGGACCTTGACTTCGGCAGCCGAGTGACGGCCAGAGAGAGCGCGCATGAGCAGCCGAAATCCTGCTGGCCATGTCCATCTCCACGTCCTTTCGCCACCAGGCCGAGTGCAGCGGGCTGCATCCTGACCGTTCGCTCTGCCCCTACTGTGGCGCGAGAAAGCGAATGCACGTCTGCCGCTGGGCGTGGCCGAGCAGCCGAAACAGCAGCAGACCCGTAATCAGTGCGGCAGCGCCTGCAGCTGCCCAGGCACACAGCGGCGGCAGCGTCCGCATCAACCTCTCCGAGCTGCCTGCTTTGCCCGAGGCTGCCGAAACCACATCTGGCCATTCTCCGGTCGAGTCGGGCTGGCTCAGCGACGGGCCACGCGTTGGGGCGAGGGTGCTGCGGCGCCTCAAGGGCCACGGCTACGTCCACGCCGTTGTGCGGCTCTATTTGCCGGCGGGCGCGGATGACGAGCCCGCGCTTTGGCGCATCCGGCATGCGGACGGGGACGAAGAGGATCTGGTGCGCCTCGCAGCACCGCCCCTCGGCACCGACTGTGCCTCACCCTCCCCTCGCCTCCCCTCGCACAGGAGGAGTACGAGCTGCTCGAGGCGCTGCAGCGCTTCGCCGGCCGTGCGGGCAGGGCCAGGGCGGCGGCGGAGGCGGCGGGTGGACACGCGCGGGTGGCGGGGCAGGCGGAGACGTCGAGCTCGGGAGGGCCAGTGCGGGCGGCAGCGGCGGCAGGGGTTGCGGAGGGCGCGGAGGGAGAGACGGCGGAGGAGGACGCGGAGGGAGAGACGGCGGAGGAGGACGCGGAGGAAGGAGTGACGGCGAAGGAGGCGGAGGCGGCGGGCGCGGAGGCGGAGGGGATGGAGGTGGAGCAGGCGGAGGAGGCGGAGGCGGAGGGCTCAGCAGGCGGGGAGAAGGGAGAGACGGCGGAGGAGGACGCGGAGGGAGAGACGGTGGAGGAGGCGGAGGTGGAGGCGGAGGCGGCGGCGGGCTCCGCATGCTCTACCGCCTCGCCGCCGCCTCCGCCGCCTCCGCCGCCTCCGCCGCAGGCTGCACCCGCCGCGCCGCTCGTGACGGAGGCGGAGGGGCTGCGGCTGCACCTCTCCAGCAGCAGCAGTACCGGGTACAAGGGCGTGAGTAAGCACCACTCTGGCCGCTTGAAGGCCGAGCACTGGGTGAACGGAAGGAGTGTCTACATCGGCATCTTCGACACGGCGGTGGAGGCGGCGGTGGCGTACGCGCGGGCGGTCGGCGAGTACCAGCCTCCGGCTCCTTCGACGGTGGCGGCAGAGGCGGAGGGGCTGCGGCTGCACCTCTCCAGCAGCAGCAGCACCGGGTACAAGGGCGTGTTCCAGCATGCCTGTGGCCGCCACCAGGTGTCGCGCAGGGTGAAGGGAAGGCTGGTCTACTTGGGCATCTTCGACACGGCGGTGGAGGCGGCGGTGGCGTACGCGCGGGCGGTTGGGAAGGCGGAGGCGGCAGGCGCGGCGGCGGCAGTGCCGGCGGAGGCTACAGGCGCGGTGGCGGCAGTGCCGGCGGAGGAGGGCGACGGAGCAGGCGGCGAGGAGGAGGGCGGCGAGGAGGGCGGCGAGGAGGGCGGGTGGAGCGGTGGCGGCGAGGAGAAGAGCCACTTCCAGGTGGGAGGCCGCGTCGCTGTACAGTACTCTGGCGGCGCCTTGTACCCGGGCGAGATCGTGGGCTTTGACGGCGCGTCGAGCCTGTACTCGGTGCGGTGCGACGACGGCGAGCTGCTGGAGGACGTCTCGCTGCACGAGATGCTGCGAGAGGTGGGAGAGGGCGAGTGGGAGGAGCAGGAGCGAGCGAGCGGCGAGGGGATGGAGGTGGAGGAGGCGGAGGAGGCGGCGGGCTCCGCATGCTCTACCGCCTCGCCGCCGCCTCCGCCGCCTCCGCCGCCTCCGCCGGACAGGGAGGCTGCACCCGCCGCGCCGCTCGTGACGGAGGCGGAGGGGCTGCGGCTGCACCTCTCCAGCAGCAGCAGTACCGGGTACAAGGGCGTGCGCGCGGACAGGAGCCGCTACCAGGCGCAGCACAGGGCGGGCGAAAGGAATGTCTACCTCGGCATCTTCGACACGGCGGTGGAGGCGGCGGTGGCGTACGCGCGGGCGGTCGGCGAGTACCAGCCTCCGGCTCCTTCGACGGTGGCGGCAGAGGCGGAGGGGCTGCGGCTGCACCTCTCCAGCAGCAGCAGCACCGGGTACAAGGGCGTGTACGAGCACGCCTCTGGCCGCTTCAAGGCGCAGCACAGGGCGGGCGAAAGGATGGTCTACCTCGGCTCCTTCGCCACGGCGGTGGAGGCGGCGGTGGCGTACGCGCGGGCGGTTGGGCAGGCGGAGGCGGCAGGCGCGGCGGCGGGAGTGCCGGCGGAGGCTACAGGCGCGGTGGCGGCAGTGCCGGCGGAGGAGGGCAACGGAGCAGGCGGCGAGGAGGAGGGCGGCGAGGAGGGCGGCGAGGAGGGCGGGTGGAGCGGTGGCGGCGAGGAGAAGAGCCACTTCCAGGTGGGAGGCCGCGTCGCTGTACAGTACTCTGGCGGCGCCTTGTACCCGGGCGAGGTCGTGGGCTTTGACGGCGCGTCGAGCCTGTACTCGGTGCGGTGCGACGACGGCGAGCTGCTGGAGGACGTCTCGCTGCACGAGATGCTGCGAGAGGTGGGAGAGGGCGAGTGGGAGGAGCAGGAGCGAGCGAGCGGCGAGGGGATGGAGGTGGAGGAGGCGGAGGAGGCGGCGGGCTCAGCATGCTCTACCGCCTCGCCGCCGCCTCCGCCGCCTCCGACGCACAGGGAGGCTGCACCCGCCGCGCCGCTCGTGACGGAGGCGGAGGGGCTGCGCTTGCACCTCTCCAGCAGCAGCAGCACCGGGTACAAGGGCGTGCGCGCGGACAGGAGCCGCTACCAGGCGCAGCACAGGGCGGGCGAAAGGAATGTCTACCTCGGCATCTTCGACACGGCGGTGGAGGCGGCGGTGGCGTACGCGCGGGCGGTCGGCGAGTACCAGCCTCCGCCTCCGACGGTGGCGGCAGAGGCGGACGGGCTGCGGCTGCACCTCTCCAGCAGCAGCAGCACCGGGTACAAGAGCGTGTACGAGCACCACTCTGGCCGCTTCCGGGCGCAGCACAGGGCGGGCGAAAGGATGGTCTACCTCGGCTCCTTCGCCACGGCGGTGGAGGCGGCGGTGGCGTACGCGCGGGCGGTTGGGCAGGCGGAGGCGGCAGGCGCGGCGGCGGCAGTGCCGGCGGAGGCTGCAGGCGCGGTGGCGGCAGTGCCGGCGGAGGAGGGCGACGGAGCAGGCGGCGAGGAGGAGGGCGGCGAGGAGGGCGGCGAGGAGGGCGGGTGGAGCGGTGGCGGCGAGGAGGAGAGCCACTTCCAGGTAGGAGGCCGCGTCGCTGTACAGTACTCTGGCGGCGCCTTGTACCCGGGCGAGGTCGTGGGCTTTGACGGCGCGTCGAGCCTGTACTCGGTGCGGTGCGACGACGGCGAGCTGCTGGAGGACGTCTCGCTGCACGAGATGCTGCGAGAGGTGGGAGAGGGCGAGTGGGAGGAGCAGGAGCGAGCGAGCGGCGAGGGGATGGAGGTGGAGGAGGCGGAGGAGGCGGCGGGCTCAGCATGCTCTACCGCCTCGCCGCCGCCTCCGCCGCCTCCGACGCACAGGGAGGCTGCACCCGCCGCGCCGCTCGTGACGGAGGCGGAGGGGCTGCGCTTGCACCTCTCCAGCAGCAGCAGCACCGGGTACAAGGGCGTGCGCGCGGACAGGAGCCGCTACCAGGCGCAGCACAGGGCGGGCGAAAGGAATGTCTACCTCGGCATCTTCGACACGGCGGTGGAGGCGGCGGTGGCGTACGCGCGGGCGGTCGGCGAGTACCAGCCTCCGGCTCCTTCGACGGTGGCGGCAGAGGCGGAGGGGCTGCGGCTGCACCTCTCCAGCAGCAGCAGCACCGGGTACAAGGGCGTGTACGAGCACGCCTCTGGCCGCTTCAAGGCGCAGCACAGGGCGGGCGAAAGGATGGTCTACCTCGGCTCCTTCGCCACGGCGGTGGAGGCGGCGGTGGCGTACGCGCGGGCGGTTGGGCAGGCGGAGGCGGCAGGCGCGGCGGCGGGAGTGCCGGCGGAGGCTACAGGCGCGGTGGCGGCAGTGCCGGCGGAGGAGGGCAACGGAGCAGGCGGCGAGGAGGAGGGCGGCGAGGAGGGCGGCGAGGAGGGCGGGTGGAGCGGTGGCGGCGAGGAGAAGAGCCACTTCCAGGTGGGAGGCCGCGTCGCTGTAGAGTACTCTGACGGCGCCTTGTACCCGGGCGAGGTCGTGGGCTTTGACGGCGCGTCGAGCCTATACTCGGTGCAGTGCGACGACGGCGAGCTGCTGGAGGACGTCTCGCTGCACGAGATGCTGCGAGAGGTGGGAGAGGGCGAGTGGGAGGAGCAGGAGCGAGCGAGCGGCGAGGGGATGGAGGTGGAGGAGGCGGAGGAGGCGGCGGGCTCAGCATCTACCGCCTCGCCGCCGCCTCCGCCGCCTCCGCCGGACAGGGAGGCTGCACCCGCCGCGCCGCTCGTGACGGAGGCGGAGGGGCTGCGGCTGCACCTCTCCAGCAGCAGCAGTACCGGGTACAAGGGCGTGCGCGCGGACAGGAGCCGCTACCAGGCGCAGCACAGGGCGGGCGAAAGGAATGTCTACCTCGGCATCTTCGACACGGCGGTGGAGGCGGCGGTGGCGTACGCGCGGGCGGTCGGCGAGTACCAGCCTCCGGCTCCTTCGACGGTGGCGGCAGAGGCGGAGGGGCTGCGGCTGCACCTCTCGAGCATCACCAGCACCGGGTACAAGGGCGTGCGCGAGAGAGGCGCCCGCTTCACGGCGGAGGCCAGGGCGGGCGAAAGGAATGTCTACCTCGGCATCTTCGACACGGCGGTGGAGGCGGCGGTGGCGTACGCGCGGGCGGTTGGGCAGGCGGAGGCGGCAGGCGCGGCGGCGGCAGTGCCGGCGGAGGCTGCAGGCGCGGTGGCGGCAGTGCCGGCGGAGGAGGGCGACGGAGCAGGCGGCGAGGAGGAGGGCGGCGAGGAGGGCGGCGAGGAGGGCGGGTGGAGCGGTGGCGGCGAGGAGGAGAGCCACTTCCAGGTAGGAGGCCGCGTCGCTGTACAGTACTCTGGCGGCGCCTTGTACCCGGGCGAGGTCGTGGGCTTTGACGGCGCGTCGAGCCTGTACTCGGTGCGGTGCGACGACGGCGAGCTGCTGGAGGACGTCTCGCTGCACGAGATGCTGCGAGAGGTGGGAGAGGGCGAGTGGGAGGAGCAGGAGCGAGCGAGCGGCGAGGGGATGGAGGCGGAGGAGGCGGAGGAGGCGGCGGGCTCCGCAGGCTCTACCGCCTCGCCGCCGCCGACGCTGCCTCCGACGCACAGGGAGGCTGCACCCACCGCGCCGCTCGCGACAGAGGCGGAGGGGTTGCGTCTGCACCTCTCCAGCAGCAGCAGCACCGGGTACAAGGGCGTGCGCGCGGACAGGAGCCGCTACCAGGCGCAGCGCAGGGCGGGCGAAAGGAATGTCTACCTCGGCTCCTTCGCCACGGCGGTGGAGGCGGCGGTGGCGTACGCGCGGGCGGTCGGCGAGTACCAGCCTCCGGCTCCTTCGACGGTGGCGACAGAGGCGGAGGGCTTGCGTCTGCACCTCTCGAGCATCACCAGCACCGGGTACAAGGGCGTGCGCGAGAGAGGCGCCCGCTTCACGGCGGAGGCCAGGGCGGGCGAAAGGAATGTCTACCTCGGCTCCTTCGACACCGCGGTGGAGGCGGCGGTGGCGTACGCCCTGTATTCGACATGAACTCAGGGAGTCTTTGTGATTGAACGAAGACCTTTCCGCCGAAAAAGAAAACGGCTCGGCGAGAGCTCAATGTCGGGGAATTCTGACCGGTAGAGGGGGTTACGGGTTAGCGCATAGCGGATTACCGAGATCTCGCTGGTGTACAACTTCCATCGCGCATCGGCAGGAATCGCGGCTCCCGAGCCCGGTAGGACCACCATTGTCACGCCGCCTCGTGCCAGCACAAGTTGGGCCATGTGCTCGCTACAGATCTACCTGACGCCGTTCTTCGTCGCGGCGGTGGCGGGCACCTGCGCTGGCGGGAGGTATTGAGGGGGCGACGGCGCGTCGTCGGAATCTAGCTCAAGCGGGGCGGGAGGATTTCGCCCGACGACTGGGCCGAGGCCACCGACGAGCAGATCCTTGTTGGCTGGAAAGACTAGTGAGTCTGTCCCTTGCCAGGCGTTTGCTCGGCGGTACGTCTTCGGTCCCCGCGGGAAGCCCCGGCCCCCGCGCGGCGGCGCGCAATAGGACAACATCAACAACGTCTGTCCCACACACGCACAGACGCCCACATGCACATCATGCTCGGGCACCCCCCACAGTGTAGTGGTGTGAGCACACAAGTACTAGCAGAGTGCACACCTGCCTTGGCGGGTGAGGGTCGGAAGAATCGGAAAGCCTCTTGGTGCCACAAACGTGCTCAACCTCAAGCGCGCCGAAGAGCCGAGACGGTCTCTACACTCTCGAGGTGGAGTTAGCGAAAGTCGCACGGGCAGAGGGGAGACCGAGGCCTCCGGCAGTCCGCGCACAGCCTCAGCGCACAGCCTCGCGGAAGTGATTTTCCGTTCGCCCGTGTCTGTAATATGCCCGCCCGCTCCGACAGAGTGGACAGCCCCTCGTCCGCAGAGCCCGCAGCGCCCGCTACACGAAGCCGTGTCCACGGGTCGGCGCGGGACCCCCCCCCCCCCCTCCCTGTCACACCCTCTCGCCGCCCTCTCCCAACATCGGCTCCCCGAGCGCGCCGCCCGCTCCTCCCCGCCTCCCGCCCCCCGCCAGCTTGCGCGTGGCAACGGCGGACGCGGCCGCCGTCGCCGCCAGGAGCAGCAGCGCGGTGGGCAGCGGCACGACGGTGGCGCGCTCCTCGCCGCCGCCCTCGCCGCCGCCCTCGCCGCAGCGGGCAGAGCCCGCGGCCGCGGGGTCGCAGTCTCGCACCGCGGCGGCACGCAGCAGCGCCTGGCTCCGGACCTCGGGCGCGAGGGGGGGCAGCTTGTCCATGTACGCCACGAGCTGCGCGGTGGAGACAACCTTGGCGACGGCCGCCCGCATCACCTCGATGGCGGGGAAGTGCGTCGGCGTCGCGGTGCCTAGTTGGCAGGGCGGCCCCGGCGGCGGCGCGGGTCACGAGCGCGCGCCGCTCGAGGGCGGGAGGGCGGGTCTCGGCTACGTCTCGCCGATTGCATCCTCGACGACGACGGTGTCGAGGTTGTACTTGTCGACGGCGTCAAAGGCGGTGGCGGCGACGCAATCCTCGCTCCACGCGCCGACAATCACGAGCGTGTCGACGCCGAGCGCGCGCAGTTTGAGCAGAAAGGTGGAGCGGCCTGAGGGGCGCGTCATGGACGCGTCACCGACGGCGTCACGGCGGCGCGGAGGAGGAAGGTGGGGCGGCCGTGCGAGTCGACGTCGGCAAACCTGCGCGGGGCGCACCGGGCGGTGTGAGCGAGCGGCGCGGCGTCGCGGGCGGACGGGAGGGGCGGCGGCGCGCTTCGAGAGGTGCGACGACTTGATCGTGAGCCCGGCCGCGATCTCCTCGCCGGTGGGCGCAATCTCCTTCATCGGGAGCGTGCCGTTCTCCAAGTAGATGTAGGTCGGGTTCTCGCGCGACCGGACGCCGGCGGAGCCGTAGAAGCGGTCCAGCGCGCCGTACAGGCCGTCATCCGGCCGGCGGATCCAGTTGGACGTGAAGACGGGCAGGCCCTTGGAGCGGAAGGACGACTGCAGCGCCGCGATGTTGTCGTTGAGATAGCCCACGTACGGGCGGTAGTCCTCCGTCATGTCCATCGTGAGCAGGCAGATGCGGCGAGGCCGGTCCTCCAGCTCCCACGCGGCAAAGTACTCCGTCTGCAGCGCCGGCTGCAGCCCCGCCTCGGTCGCGACGATGTCGGCTCCGTGGATGGTCCTGACTTTGGCGTCCGTCAGCTTGACGCCGACCGCCTCGGACCACTCCTCCGGCTCCATAGCCGGCGCAAAGGGAGCCGGCTTGGCTCCGTTGGCGAGGAGGTCGCGGACAAAGTGCGAGTCGACGATCGAGGTCGGGCTGCCGTCCACGCCGGGATCGCTGGCGCGGAGCCGCTCTCGCTCGGCGGCGGTGTAGTCGCCGGTCGGCGCCACGGTCTGAGGGAGGTGGAGCCAGTCGTCCTTGGCCGCAGCGTGGGACGGAGGCGAGAGAAGGAGGAGCAGCATATGTGTATGACAACCAATGTGGTTGCCCGGTGGGGGGGGGTGCAGGGCCGATGCAAATCGGTTGTTTTTCGTGTGTGTACGTACGTCTCGAGAGACGTATGTAGCTCTTCTCTTTTCTCCCAGTAAGCTATAAGTACGTACGAACATACCCGTAGGTGAACTGCTGACAGGGTTTGCGATGAGGAGCGATCCGAACGTGGTATTCGGGTGATTAGATCACTACCACCTTCTCCGATAAGCGAGCCATGTGAGCTCTTCACGCTGCTGTCACACAAGCACCTCACTCACGCCAACTGAACCCCTGGTGAGAGCTAGCTCCTAATGATCGCCAGGATCTCCGGAACGATGCAGCTCCAGTTTGTGTGGGAGCGGGCCGAGGGCCCAACAGGAGAATCGTGCTTTTTGGGTTGGGATGAGATTTTATCCCGCCGTTGCAACTGTGTCGCAGGAGGTGAAGCACGAATACCCTCACGAGCACCAACAGCCTGACCTGTATCGAGAGGCTTCACCTATTATTCTCCCTTCCCCGCCCCAGAGTGACAACTATAGCCACATGAAATCCGAGACCCCTCCCCACCACCCCAATCCCCCCACCCCCTTGCTCCCCTCCCCCCCTCGGGAGGGCCGAACTGAGGCGCCCGAGGGGACCCCGCAATTCCCTTCCCCCCTCGGAGGGCCGGACTGAGGCGTCGAGGGCCCCACTCTTTCCTTCGCATAGCGGCCACTCTTCGGATCGCTGGTCGAGCGACCCGGGGGATGCCCCGCGCGCCTGACCCAGGCGCGGAAACGAATCTGCGAGGCGTGGCCGCTCATGCGGCCCGATGGGGAGGAGGGGAAGACGTAGGGCGTGCTTGCGCGCCTTTCTGAGGCCCCTCCAACCCACCCGCGCTAGGTCTCGGGGGACGAAGGGGTCACACCCGACGACCTCGGGAACTAGCCGGGGCAGTCGGAGAAGGGGCAACTCCGTGCACTGACGGTCGGCCGTCAGAAAACACGCCTCCGTGGCTCGGGTTACACCAATCCTCGCTACCCAACGCGGCCAAAGGATATCCACCTCGAGAACCTCGAGAGAGGGTTGGGTTGTGGGCGTGGGTTGGGTTGTTCCGCGTAAGGTTGGGTCGTCGGCGAGAAGGGTGAGGTCTCGACCGCCGCCGCTCACGCCAGCGGACGGCCACCATCGGTGTTTTTGGCTTCGCCACCGTCCAAAGCGTGCGCAATGCGCTCGCCGGCATCGAGCGAGCACGCCTGTCCGACGAGCGGCTTGCTGTGTGGACGCCTTCTTGTGGCTCTCGCCGAGAGCGTTTTGCGTCCCGGTGGGTGGGAGAATATGTGATAGGAACGAGTGTATCGCTTTGACGGATCGACCGTACTTGTTATCAAGACCGATGTGACGACACAGTGACACATCAGACCACACATATTCTCCCACCCGCCGGGACGCAAAACGCTCTCGATGAAGAAGCTGAGCTGCCGCGCGCCGGTAATGTCGCTGTCCTGGGCCGACCACGCGCCGCCCGAGGCCCGCACCATGCACTGACCAGCAGTGCCCACAAAGCTGCCGCCGTCGCAGAGCAGCTTCTTTGCATACCGGCTGCCGCCCAGCGCCTCCTCGCCCGGAAAGCCCAAATCCACATCTTCGTCCGAGAAGCGGACGCGCATCGGCAGGGAGAGGCGCGCCCCGAGGCGGATAGCCGCACTGAAGATCAGACGTCCAGCCAGGCGTTTCTGGCTCCACGGGGCTCGCCGTATATTGACTCAAGGGACCATGCTGCACGCAGCGGAATTTGCCGCGACACCCGCGCGCAACCCAGAGTGCACGGCTAGAGTTGACATAGTGGCAGCCAAAGCTCCTTCCAATCACGCAGTTCCTGTAGCCGTCACTCGTTTGCTCAAGCAGCTGCACTGAGCATGCGCCAAAGTCGCCTTCTGCTGGGCCGCTCGCCATCAGCAGGTAACTTGACGCCGGGACCCCCGAGGACCAGCTCGCCTCGCCATACCTGTGTAAGTGCCAGTGCGCGCCAGTCGCCCAGTGGGGATGGAAGGACGGCACGCCGCCACCACACAGGGATTTGTGCGAGGGGAGCCTTGCTAAAATACTAACTAGAAATTCTTTTTTAACGTGCTGCAGAACAAACTGACCTCTGACGCGGGCCCAGTACCCAGCCAGTACCTCGATGAGGTGTGACTTGGACCACCAAGAACTGGCTAGGGCTGTGAGACCATGGGTGTGAGGTAAAACCGCGCTGCCAGAGCGCTTGGTCACATCGGCCCTTAGCGGGTAAGACTCTTCTACTCTGTTGATGACAACACTTGTCTACTCGCTGGAGCCGAGCAGGAGGGCCTGGCGCTGCAACCCCTGTGCAACTGAGGGTCCTTCCCCTACTTCCCCGACCCCCGCGCGTACTGTGCACACACTGCACGACTAGCACTAGCCACTAGGGTGCGTCGCGTCGACAATAACACAACGGGGTGTGCTTTCGAAAACCGTGTTTTGACCTAGAACACAATGCAATCCTCTCTCGGAGAGCCTGTTCGTCGGAGCTCAGGCCGCTCGGCTTCCTGGGAAACACCAGTACGTCGACAATCAGACAAGCGGTGCTGCAGTGCCTGCAGCTACTCTACTGGCACTGCGCGCACGGTGCGCTGGCCGCCGCACTCCGCCTCAAGCCACACTCTCCGCCTCCTCCTCCTCTCCCTCCTCCTCTTCGTCCGCCGCCGCAATCTCGACCCCCAGCGACGCGACCATGGCGGCGGGGTCGAGCGGCTCTGTTCGGTGCCCCGCGGCGGGGTAGCCGCATGCGAGGTCCCACGAGAAGTGGTGCAGCCGCTGGTGCATCGCCGTCTCGCGCTTGTCGACGCGGCGCGCGCGGTCCATGTCGACGTTGAAGAGCCGCAGGTAGTTTGCGTTGGCGGCGCGGTCCCACGCGACGATCCGGAAGAGCTCGCGCAGCGCCTAAATAAAGAAGACAAGGCTCGCTGGCATTCCTTTGTCGAAAGCGACGGTAAGTGCTCGCGCAAGCGCCTGTTAAAGAAAACAAGTCTGCTGGCATTTCTTTGTCGAAAAGCGACGGTAAGTGCTCGCGCCCCAGCGCCTGTAAAAAAGAAGTCAAGCCTGCGGTCGCTCTTTGTCGACAGCGAGGGTCCGGAAGAGCTCCTGCAGCGCCTCAAGCTTGTGGAGCACGGTCTCGAAGAGCAGGTCCCGCTCGCCTGTTCACAGCTGGAGGTGTGAAGAGACGCTGTTCACAGCTTGTGGAGCGCCGTCTCGAGGAGCAGGTCCCGCTCTCCTACACAAAGAGATCAGCAGCTCCGTATTTCTTTTCTTAGCCCGAGGAGCACCGGCTCTGTCGCCCTTCGCGTCGCTCTGCCGCATCCACGACGGGAGAGAGTAGTGGCCGACGAAGCTCTGCAGCCAGCAAAAGGTGCAGTCGGGCGGGTTCATAAGTCATAATTAATAAATGGGCACTCGGCCTGCAGCCAGTAAAAGGTGCCGTCGGGCTGGGCGACGATGTTCCACACGTGCGCGTACCCCGCCTCGCCGCCCTCGGTCCCAACCCCGAGGCGGTAGACGTACCTACGGTGTGTGTGTGTCGCGCGCCTTGCGGCGGGGTGGGCGCGGAAAAGAGGAGCCTCTTAGTTCCATCGGCAGCGGTGGCCGGGCCAGGCTGCTCCGCAGCTCTAGCCGCGCCTCCTCGGTGTCTACCGTCTCCTGAGGCCAGCATCTCCTCGGCTGAATCTCGGCTGAATCTCGGCGAATCTCGACAAATCTCGGCCCGCCGCACCGCGGGTGCTTCCCGCGCGCCTCTCCGAGCGCGTGCATGGCCTTGAGCCAGCTCTCGAACCTATGAATCATACACCACGCATGCCCAGTACTTCTGTCACGGGGTGCTCGGCCTTGAGCCAGCTCGCGAACCTGTCGATCTCGCTCTCGCCGATGCCCTGCCCACCGATGACGGAGGGGGCCTAGAAAGAGAAAGCTCGCCCGCCCGTATTTCGTTTTTAGCTGCCGACGCCCCGCCCCCCGATGACGAGGGGTCCTTGGCCGCGTCCTCGGCAGAGTCGCGGTTGTGCGCCACGTCGAGGCCGCAAAAGTAGGCCTGTGAGGCATGTCTCGGACATGTCACGGACCTGTCCTGGAAGTGTCTCGCCACGCCGAGGCCGCAAAACAGCAGGCCGTCACAGCAAACTGCGTGCTGGTGCAGCGCGTGACCGCCATCGACTCGGCGCCGCCGACCTGCAGAGAGGAAAGTGGAGCGGGGCTGGGGAGGAACGAGGCAGCGAGCGAGCAGAGAGTACTCGTATCACCAAAAGAGGGGCCCGTGACGCCATCTTAACCTTCGTGCGTTCGCACGCGCCGCCGCACACTGCAGAGACTCTCACGGAGGCTCTGGGCCAGGCGCCGTGAACCAAAGAGGCTGGTGGGCCGCCCGGTCTGGCTTCTGGGCCGGCCGTGCCCACACCTGGTTGTCGTCCGTGTCGAGCGGCTCCGGCTCATGGCCGTGCTCGCCTCCGATGTCTGCCGCCTCGACGTGCTCCCGGAACGACTTCTCGCGCAGCGAGAGGAAGCCTCCGCGCCACCACGGCGTCGTGCGTGTGTAACTGCACATCTTGCGAGTGAAGGACGGGTGACGCAGGATGTCGTCCCAGTGTCCGCCGAGCTTGACACTGGCGGCCGGGATCGCGCCGCCGTAGAAAGGGGAGGAGCGAGCCTTCAACAGCATCGCCACGAGGACTCCGGCAGCGAGAAGGGCTTTGTGGAGTCGCGACAGCGGAGGTCTGGGCGCCTGACGTGGTTGCGGATTGTTCGGCCGCCGTGGCGGCTGCGGTGGCCGCCGTGGCGCGTCTCCACGACGCCGCAGGTCGGCGAGCGTGTGCACCACCATGGCGCCGACCACCCGGGCGAAAAGCCCTGCACAGCCGTGGCAGGCTTGCTTTGGCCGCCTCCGCCCTGCACAGCCTCGATAACCAACTCGCTTACTAACGCACGACCGGCTCTTCCACACGGCTCGCATCCTTCACAGCGTCGGTGCTTTGACGCTGAGGAGTCGAGGAACTGCTGCGCGCTGAGCAAGGATGATACACGCCTGTGTGACGCGGGCAAGAAACCTGCCGGACATGGACCGCTGGCCAAAGGGCCCAAAGCCCGACGCATACGCGAGGGTCCGTCTCGTCAATGATGACAGTGCGCTGCGGGCCCAGCATATACGCACTCGCGCCACGCATCCATACGTTATGGCCAAGAATCCCAAAGAATATCCTCACTCACGGTGCGGGAGCAGGACGGCAAATCACACCTCTTTCTCCTCTCGCAGACGAATGCAAGACGTCTCGCGTGGACGACGACACGTCGCCCGACTGGGGCCAGCTCTGCTGCAGCCTCGAGCCTAGCCTCCCGCTCAACCAGACGACCGTCAGCTTCGTCGTCGAGGCGCGCGAGCCGCCCGCCTGCCCTTCCCGCTGTGCTGCGCGCCGCTGTCTCACTGCCGCCTGCACCCGCCCGCCTCCCCGCTGCGCTGCAGGACTATGACCTCATCACGCACAACGAGGTGGGCGGAGAGAGCTTCAACCTCCCTCCCTCACCCCCCTTCCCCCACCCTTCCCCCGAGCCGCAGTCCGTCTCGTCTCCTCCTGATGCGCCCCCCTCTGAGTCCTGGTGTCTCTCTCTCTACTAGGCTCGGGCCGCAGGTCGTCTCGCCGCTCGTCGAGCTGCACTCGCCGGCGGTAAGGTAAGGTAAGGTAAACTTCTCTCGCCGGCGGGCCGGTGAGGGGCCGAGGCAGCGGCGTGCGTGCAGTATACTTGGGAGCAGCATGCGTACAGTAGGGGAGGGTGTGATGGGGGCGATCCTTTAGTCGAGCGTTGCGTCCATGCGTTGCGTCCCCAGGGCGGCGCGACGGCGCGCGGCGTTATAGCGTCCCAAGTCGTCGAGAGTCAAGTACGTTGTGTACAGGAGGTGCGGGGGCTCTGAGTTTAGGCAAACTTCTCCACACACACAACGTGGTGGCTGGGGCAAAAGCGCCTCGCTGCTCGACGCACTCTCACGCGACACGCGCCTTCCCTGCTCAGAGTCAGACACCGCGCCCCGGCGGCGGCGCCCACGCGCCACGGCGCCTCGACCTTCTTGTTCTTCGGCAGCAGCTGGTTCGACAAGTCCTCTCCGTGGCCAAGGCAGCCGCTTTCGCCCTGGCCCCACGCGAAGAGGGCTCCGTCGGCGGTGCGGGCGATGCTGTGGCGATCTCCCGATGACACAGCGACGACGCGCTGCCCCGTGAAGGCCTCGACCTTCTTTGGCAGCAGCTGGTGCTGCGCGTCGCCGTGGCCCAGCTTGCCATAGCCTCCACTGCCCCAGCTCCAGACGCTGCCGTCGGCGGTGAGGGCGAGGCTTTGGCTCCCTCCCGCCGACACAGCGACGACACGCTGCCCAGCGAAGGCCTCGACCTTCTTGGGCAGCAGTTGGTTCTGCGCGTCGCCGTGGCCCAGCTTGCCAGAGGCTCCATCGCCCCAGCTCCAGACGGAGCCGTCGGCGGTGAGGGCGAGGCTGTGGAAATCTCCAGCCGACACAGCGACGATGTGCCGGCCAGCAAAGGCCTCGATCTTCTTGGGCAGCAGCTGGTCCTGCGTGTCGCCGTGGCCCAACCGGCCTTCATTTCCCCGGCCCCAGCTCCAGACGCCGCCGTCGGCGATGAGGGCGATGCTGTGCACGGTTCCAGCCGACACAGCGACGACACGCTGCCCAGCCAAGGCCTCGACCTTCTCGGGCAGCGGCTGGCTCTGCTCGTCGCCGTGGCCCAGCCGGCCAAAGCCTCCAACGCCCCAGCTCCAGACAGCGCCGCCGGCGGTCAGGGCGAGGCTATGGTAGCTTGCAGCATACACACTCACCGCTCGCTCGCCGCCCAGCGAAGAGGAGAGGCGGGTCGGCGTGTTGAGCCGCGTCATGCCCTCGCCGTGGCCGAGCAGCTCTGGGCTGAACCACGGCGCCGTTCCGCACGACGAGAGCCGCCCCTCGCCGTCGATGAAGAGGCTGTGATTGGAGCCTGCGGCTGCCCTCGCCGGCGGGTTGGACTCGCGCAGCAGCGCCGCGAAGCACAGCCACCGCACGGCGCAGTTCTCGTCCTCTGGCTTCGCCGGCAGCTCGAAGCCGCGCTCTTGCGCCCACAAGCGGATGCCCTGCTCCGCGAGCGAGGCGTGGAAGAGCAGCGAGACGGCCGCGACGCGAGCGATGTCGGCGGGGCTGTCGCAGCGAGAGAGGGCGCGCACGAGGAGCTCCGTGGGGAGGTCGAGGAGGCGGGCAGGCGGCGGCGTGTCTGGCGAGAAAGCGGCGGTGGTGGCGGAGGCGAGGCGGCGCGAGCGGCGGCGCGGCGGGGTGGACATCGCGAAGAAAAGAATTTAAATGCCTTCTCCCGGAAGAGAGGCAACGGCTAGCGCATCACACCCCTCTCCTTAAAATCCCTGTGTGGTGGCGGCGTGCCGTCCTCCCATCCCTCCCTTGGGTTGTCCGTTTTCTTTCTTTCTTTTTCAATGTATGTGGCTCTTACGTACATCCCCTTTTCAGAGGCAACTGCGGGGACACGGAATTCCAGCGATGGTGGTGTCCCCGCGCTGCTCGCTCGCCCGTGCGGAGGGCATGGCCGCGGAGGAGGCGAGTACGCGCTGCCAGGCCTTCCACAGACAGCCTCTTGGGCAGACTGAGGGTTGGCTTTGCGTGGCGTAGCCCGTGCGCTGCGCTGCGCAAAGCTGCGTGTGCTGAAGGTGCATCTGGTGCTTCCTTTCGGAAGTGCGCACCTCCTGCAGCTGGTGGAAGGCCGTGCTGCCGCTCGCCTGCTCCGTGGACAGGGCGGGGAGGCGGCGCCGCAGCGCCGCAGCGTCCGCTGCACGCCGGTGCAGCACTCTGCTGCCTGGTGGACAGCATGCTGGTGCTGTGCGCGGTGTTTGCGAGGCGGCTTTGGCGCTGTACTGCCTGCCGCGGCGAGTGGCGCGAGGCACGCGCGGCGCCGCGCGTGGCCCGGACGGCGCCAGAGAGCGCGCTCGATGAGCCAGCCGGCGCGGCGCGAGCGCCGTGCAAGCTGGCACATCGTCTGCATGCTGCCGTCGTTCTCTGGTTGACGGCGGTCAATCTCGTGGTTGTCAATCAAAACCGGCGGGCTTTGTGACGCCGTTTACGCAATGGATTTGCGTTCGTTTTTTCTTTTCGTTTGTTTTTTCTTCTTTTGCGGCGACGGAGGGGGGGCGGACGGGCGCTAATTAGGGGCAACTACATGTGGAAGGTTGGAGGAGGCCTCCTCCCCCCCTGGGTCTTTTGGGGCGCGGGGTTCCTTCGAGGACCGGGCGCCCCCCTTACCGGGGGGGGGGTGGGTCCCCTTTTGACGTAAAGAGGGGAGGCCCGGAGGAGGGCCCGACTCATAAATTCCACTAATTTTTTCCCTCCCCCCCCCCCCCCCCCTCCGACGCCGCCGCCTCCCTGGCCGTCCCCCCCTCCCGCCTCCTCCTCCTTCCCCCCCCTGCCGCCGCCTTCCCCGTCACCGCCCTCGCCATCCTCTCCTTCACCGCCTTCCCCGAGGTTGTCCCCTCCCTCCCCGCCTGGACCGCCTCCCCCTCAGCCGCCTCTCCTTTATCGTATTATCTTCGAGTAAGGTATTGCGTGGGGACGGTGCGTATTCTCGTATCACTAGCTAGTGTCGTGTCCACTAGCTCCGAGTAGAGGGGGCGCTCCGCTGCTAGGGGAAACCTGGGAGAGCGCGTCCGCCACAATGACGCAGGCAAACTGGAGCGCCTCCGCGCTGTACGAGGGCGCGAACAGCAGCGCCTTCACTCCATCATCGCTGCGGAGGCTGGCGAAGCTAGTGACGTACGCGCCGTACAGATTGATTGCAGGCAGAGTGTCCTCCCTCGACCCGACGGAGAGCTGCCAGCCGTCGGCCGCGTTGAACTCACCGCCGGCGGCGGAGGGAGGACCGCCGTTGCCCGATGCGCGAGGCGCCGACCAGACGAGCTGGCGCAGCAGCGCCCGCCAGGAGACGCTCTCCCGGATCGCCCTCCCCTCTCTGATGGATCCGACGGTGGAGACTGTGGCCGCGTGGATCGAAGGCAGCTCGACGCCGCCTCGCGCTCGCCACAGGTAGGCGCGCGTCGACAGCGGGTGGAGGCAGGCGAGAGGCGGGAGACATCCGCGGCGGAGCGTGACGGGCGGCTGGAATATCCGGAGCATCACGACGCACGCATCGGTGGGCGATGTGACCACAAAGTCCTCGCCTTTTGGCGCAGGTGCCGATGATGAGACAACCACCAGGCGGTAGCGCTGCCGCTGCCCCCGCGCCGCTGCGGAGAGCGCGCGGCCAGCAAAGGCCCCCACGGGCTGCCCGAAGCTGCCGCCAGCACCCTGGTACACCTGGATGGCCCAGAAACTGATGCCGCTTGGCACCGATCCCTCGATCGTGAATGCGTTTGAGCCCGACCTGGAGAAACTGAGGAGCGAGACGAGGTAGCTCGACATCTGATAGTTTGGCGCGGCGAGGTTGTAGGCGTTGCCAATGCTCTGGACGGGCCAGGCCACATTGGTCAGCACGTCCGGTGATGCCGAGACCTCTGCCGCGTCCGACAAGGGAAGAGGAAGGGCATCCGACACGCGCGAGTCGGTCTTCGCGTCACGCTTGCGCCGCAGGTACTCACCCGTCGGCCGTGGCGCGGCTGGTGGGGGGCGCATCGCGTGTTTTGCAAAGGACAAAACAAAAAATAAACGTGTTTTTCACTCCCCCCACGGATTTTGGCCCATGCGCATGCTCTTCCTCGTGCTCGCCGCGCGCTCGGGAGCCGGAGTGACGGGGTCGGAGCTGCTGCAACGGCGCGAGTGGCCGCGAGGGGTCGTGCTGGGGCTCTCTGGAGGGCGAGACCACTACGCGGTGCTCGCGGCGGCGCATGTGATTGTTGGATCAGCTCCCCAGCCAGCCAGGAACGGACGGCGCGATGGACACCGCAAAGCCCTCGCCCTCCCCCGCGAAGACGTGGTTCGTCGTGAACAACATCATCGCCCTCGCCCTCTGTACCGCCGCGCTGGGCGGGATGGGCGATGCTCTGTTTCCGATCCTTGATGCATCCAATGCGGCAGGACTCGACTTAGCCCCGATGGAAGCTGCGTGGGCGATGCTCTTTCTCGGCGTCCTGTCTGGACTCACCGCGCTCTTCCTGGGCGCAGCAAAGGAGTCCTGGAAGTTGGCGATTTTGCTCGACCTTGCGGCATTCGCCTTCGTCTGTCTCTCCTTCGTCTGGTTCAGCCCGCTCTGCTTTGGGGCATTCGGATGCTTTCGATCGGAATTTTCATGGTACCACGGCGTCAATATCGGCGGTTTGATTAACTACCTGTTTGCGGCGCTGAACGCCCACGTGGCAGGCCAGGCTAAGTAACGGTGGAACTGTATGGTCTATCTTTCGTAACCCCGTTGCGACTTTTGCACGCTGCAGCGTACAGCGTAGCACGCGGTACGGCTTCTCGCTTTAATTTGAGAGGGGACAGAGGTTCCGCGGGGGGTTGTGCGGCTCTGATTTTGTTTTCCCTTTTGACGCCCCAAGAACATAGCCTTTAGCCTCGGCTCCCGTGTCAACGCGAGACATGCGCATAAAAGGGACACAATGTTGTGGTGTGCGGCGTCTCCGGCTTTCGTGCTGTGATCCTTGGGAGGCTCACGGCCGCGGGATGTGGGGTCATCTCGGGTAGGGATACGGGTCCTCGTCGCCGCGGCCGCCGTACCGGATCGTGACCGAGAGCCGGTCCTCGTCGCCGTGGTACACCTGGTGGTCATGGGCAGGCGGGATCGAATCCGGGGCGCCGCTGGATCGTGGTGGTTTGAGCGGGATCGAATCCGCGGCGGGGGCGGAGGAGAGCGGGGGTAAAGCCCCGTGAATGCGTTTGTTGGCTTAGGGGCGGGGGGGGGGGGGGCGGGGGGGGGCTTTTTGCTTTGTGACCATGCTCGCTCCGCCAGGGGGCGCGCCCGCAAGGCTCCGTGTCTCTCTCTTCACCTCGGGGTCAACGCTGTCCCTCGCGGCGCCCTCCAGCGCGTAGACGTCGCCTGGTCACGCCCCACCCCGCTCACAGGTAGAGACTCACCGCCCTCCGCCAGCGGGTACGGCACGCGTCGCCCGTCGCGACGCGGAAGGAGACCCCCCCCACCTGCGGGAGGTCAGGTCCGGTAAACTTCTCCACACACAAAAGTGGGGGCGCAAAGGCCGGGGCGGCCCTCGCATCTCCACACCCGGACACGGGCAGGAGCCGGCGCGGCACACGCTGTGCAAGGCCCAAAGCTGGCGTTTTGGCGCTGCCATTGGCGGTGGCGGCCACCGAGGAGGTGACCGAAGGGGCGGCGGAAGAGGGAGAGGCGGTGCCAGTGGCGGTGCTAGTGGTGGCGGCCGTGGTGACATAATTGTCGCACTGTGTTTGCCTCTCTCTCTCTCTCTCTCTCTCTCTCTCTCTCTCTCTCTCACTCTCTCTCTCTCTCTCTGGAGTTTGCCCCCCCCTCCCAACAACGTAAATTTTATTTTGGGCCCCTGTGTTTTAAAACCCCCCC